TATATATATATATATATGTACATACACACACACACACACAGAAACTCCTGGTGTGGCATGCGCTGGAATTTGAACCACAAGGTTGGCATTTCAAATTCACCAGCTTCTCCTAAAAAACCTTACACAAGGTCACAATGAGTCAAAATCTACTCAAAACTGAATTGCACTTATCAATAACTATATATATGCATATATATTCACACATATATGTTGTTGTTATTAAGTGCCCTCAAGTCGATTCCAACCCATAACGACCCTATATAGGGTTTCCAAAGAGCAGCTGGTGAGCTTCAACTGCGGATCTTGCAGTTCAAACAACTTTGTGGTGTGACGCATTAACCCACAGCGCCACACCAGGACTCCCACATACATTGTTTTTACTTAGTTACTTCAGACAGAAAAGGCAGCAAAGTAACTCAAATCTATATTTGAGTCTCTAATAGTAATGCTGAAATAGGATCTGAGACTATATTCTAACTTCACAACTAGTCTTCAAGAGCCTTTTAGCTTTTCCAAATGTGTGTACTTGTAGCTAATTCATGGATTGTCAGCTATGCCCCTCTTACTTTATAGGTAAGGGTAGATTTCTTGTAAAACAAAAATTCAGTGTGTGAAACATTGACTCATAGCCCACTTGATTTTATTTACTGGGATTGTAAAATGTTGACTCATAGCCAACCTTTATTTGCTGGCATTGGAAAATGTGTTTTACCAGACACACACACACTCACACACTCACTCCCATTACTTTTCCTTAGGCCATTCTTTATAGAGAACTTGGAGACATTTAAATTGTTCTTTGGAAGAAGGATGGACTTTTAAATTCCTTCCTTTCCCAGTTAATAAAATCACAATCACAAAGGACATAGAGATGCGCTATTCCTGGCATCCCAGAGAGTGTAGTTGAAGATATTCTAGAATTAGAGATTTTAAAAGACCTCCTTTGTATGCTCCATTTACTGCCAAAATATTGAAGACTCAGAACCTTCAATATTGTGTATGCAATTACAGTCTGGTCAATTTTGCAGATATATAGCAGTTTAATATGTAAGAAATATTAAGTTTTGAACTGAAGATGTATTTCCCTCAGCTTAGTGGCCTAATTTGATTGACTGTGTAAGAAATAATATACAAGTTTTGATCCATCTATTAATATTAATAGTACACTCACACAATAGAGTTTTCTTTCATTTTTGTCATTTGTAAAACCTCATTTACATTAAACTTCAGTTCCGGAACTTTATGCAACTTTGCTTTGCAAATTTTAGCAAATAGGTTTCCATTAGGGGGCTCTCGAGGTTTGAGATGATCTGCCTTGATACCAATAATGCTTCCAAGCCTTTACTTTCTAACGTTCATCTTACTCTCTCCCTTTTTGTTTTGTTTTATAGAAAAGGTCACGGATCGCCTACAGTGACGAAGTACGGAATGAGCTCCTAGGGGTTGATGGGAATTCCTCGGAGAACCAGGTAGAATGCTAATCAGGAAGGCCCGGTGGGTGGTTGCAGGGTGAAGAAGGTCAGTGGAGCACTGGGCTCTCAAGCTGCTCCTTAGCTGTATTAGCATCAACTCATGTGGAAGCGATACTGTTTAATGCAAAGCTGGAGTCTTAATCAACTTCAAAATGTGTCTTGGAGATCTTACATTTAACCCTTTACCTTGTGATCACTGTCTGCTATCTTTTTAAAAAATCTTTTCTTCTCTTTTCTTTATTATTTAGTACTTAAGGAATAACTTGAAACACACTGTTTCCAGACAAAGCCAAGGTCTTCACCTCAAACACATGTAAAAGGAATAAAAAAGTACATAATACAGCTTTGATACTAATGCAGTATAATTAAATCAACACTTGCAACAAAACAAATGAAAGTAAGCCTTCAAAAATTCAACAGGGTGGCTGGGTCTCTTATTGTGCTGCTTCTTGAAAATATATATTCACCAAAATACTAATTATAAGCACCAGCCTGGAACTTGGATACCCATATAGAGTACATGCCTCTGTTAAATAATTATTATAGTAATTGTAGTAATTGGAAGAGTCAGGTTGCTGTTTAAGATATATAAGCAAAAAATAAGACATAATTTCTTCTAAAAAAAAAGAACCTTAAATTTGGCTGTAAATTCGCACTGGATCCTAAGAGTCTTATTAATGTCTCTGTTCTTTATTTAAATTAAAACTGCTAACTTCCTTAGCTTTTGTAGATGATATAGAAGACTTAAAAAAAAAATGTTTTTTTTCAAGAACCTTAGTGTAGGGCTGACTTAAAAAATGTCTCAAACAATCTTAGTGACTGATTTTCTTTGACATTGTAAAGAAAACAAATGCTAGGAAACTTAAGATGCAAGACCTGAACTTGTTTATTAGTGTTCCTTTGACAAGTATAGTTGTTGTTGTTAAGTGGCATCGAGTCAGTACCATTAGCGACCCTGTACAGGGTTTCCAAGGAGCAACTGGTAAACTTGAACCGCCAACTTTGCAGTTCAAAACAACCTTGCCATCCAGCGCGTGAACCCAGAGCGCGACACCAGGGCTCTGGCAAGTACAGTTGTTTTGTTGTTAAGTGTCGTTGAGTCGATTCCGACCTATAGTGACCCTGTATAGGGTTTCCAAAGAGTAACTGGTGAGCTTTAAGTGTAGTACAGGTGCCTAAATAAAAATGAACATAAATCGTGTATTGAGTAAACCAAACATTTTAATAAGGTATTAAACATTCTATACCAGTACACATTATTAAAAAATTTTAAATGGAATAATTTTATTTAGCATCAAAATATTCTATTTTTATATGTGTTGATATAATATTACTATTTTAATGCTGTAATGATAGCAACATAATGATGACATCATAAATTAAGAATCTCCTACCCACCCACCCCTCCCCCCCAAAAAAAAAAGAAGAGGAAGAATTGCTGCTGAGCTGATGATCGTGTTTTGGAGAAAGATTTTCCCTCCTCCACAGTTGGGATGTTATCAGCTTGAATTCAAACATGTAAACATGTTTAAGATTTGACTTGGGATTTCAGCCTCTCTGATTGAAATGTGAGAATAGCTAAGGGGGAAAAAAAGAAATAGGGAGTACATCAAACATAAAAGGATGATGTGATAAAGGGGTTTTACTCATCATAATAGATTAAATAACGCAAGGGCGAGAGGAAAAACATTTTCTTTCTTTTTTAAGGGAGTTGTAGATTGCCCGTACCTCTTGATTGATTCACAATTTCATTTTCTGCCCTTAACTGCAAATAAGCATTATTTTGTTCTTTAAAAAAAGGTGAATACATAGTACTTGTGGGCTCTTGAAAAAGCTAGAGATCTTTCCCTCATTTGAAACTACTGCCTAATGTGGAGGAAATAGAAAGAGGGGTGGGGGTGGGTTTCTGTCGTACTCGGCCTCCTCTGTTGTAATAGATGTTGTAGTACTGTGACAGGGAGCCCCATTTTTTTTTCTTAACAACTTCACTTCTCTTCATGGACATTTATGTGCCTAAAACATTTGCTTTACATACATAGAAATATGATTTTTTGTGCCTAGAAAAAATAGACCACAAAAATAGAAATAGTTCATATTTTCTGAATTTTTCAAATTTTATTCCTGTCACTTTAAAGTGATTATGCAGAGATTTTCCCTGGACTTGTATAAATCAAACTTACAAATTCTGAAAGTGCTTGGAGAACTTGAAGTTTCCTTGTAAAGAGCTGTCACTTCAATAAATAGAGTATGATAAATTATAGTCATGAGAACCTGTAACTGTTACATTAGTACTTACATGAACTTTTCAGCCCAAAATGTGAATTGGGCTCAAAAGTTCAAAGAGATCACATTTCATGTTTTGGGTATTTTTGCTACCAAATATAGCAGCATTTCCATATCATGATGAATTCATTAAATATATATTATATATATATATATATATATATATATATTAGGCTCTTTATCTTAAAATAGGAATTAGAATCTTTTGGATTAAAATACATGCTTCTCCAGGTATGGTCACTTGAGAATAATTCTTGAATCACACTCAGTATTCATTCAGACTGGAATCCAAACAGCCGCTTTTTCATTAAAGAAAAGGTTTTAACTTGGTTCTTCATATTAGTTCTTGTAGCTCAGTGGCTGAGAAGATGAGATTTTTTTTTTTCCCCTTCTCAGACTAGGGTAAGATATCGCCTCTATAAGAAAATGTTTTCTTCCCATAAATAAGTTTATTTTCAAGTAAAGTTTTGATTGCAAAAAAACAAGAACTTCTTGCCCATGTATGATAACCTTTTAATACACAGGGCAAACATGGAGACAAAATGTGTCAAAAATAGCAATATTTATTTCATTGGAATTGGGATATACCAGTCAATTAGAAACATTTTAGATCAGAAAGCAAAAATAATAAGATAGGAAGTTTATAGCAATGGTTAAAAATATGTATGATAAACGAAATAATGACAATTTAGTTATTTTTAATGTAACTCTTCAGAGTGGCTTCTTTGTTGAAAAAAAGCAAATGTGAATATAATAATTATTTTTTCTCATTCTGAATATTTATAATGCAGTTTTTAATGAATCTAAGCTTTGGTTACTGATAGAACTGTTGAAAGTATAGTAACTCCCAGGTCTGTACACATTTCTGCCATGATTCGATATGCAAACATTTCAGAAATGAACAAATTTTAAAATGCATTTTTGATGTTTCTCCTACAATACACAATTCCATTTAATTTCAAAGTAATTGCATTGTTTAATCCACTTCTGATTCATATCCATTGCATACAGTCAAATAGAGCTCATCCCTGATGTACAAAGAAGGGACAAAAATATCTGCTTTGTATATCCCATTGTATTTGTGTTACCAGCTTTGCAAGAGTTGTTGTCTTAAATATTACCCTTTAAAAAAAACTGTATCATTTGCCATTCCAGATGACAACATTTTATTTCTTTGAGAGAGTTGAATTCTTGAATGTAGCGACGATACTATATTTGGAGTGTAATCATTCATGGGAACCCTTCTCAGAAAAAGAAAAACTTTACAGAATTAAATCAGAAACCTCTTCGTCCTGGAGAAAGAAAATGCGGCATATAGAAGATTCCAAGCTATACTTTTTGAACCTTAATAGTTTCTCCGTTTTCATATGAAAAAGTATATTTGATCAGTCAGTAACTTTGAATAAACCCTAAACAGAAGGATCAAAAAACATATAAAGAGTAGGATATTTCCAAACGTGCCGAAATGTTTGTGGTAAAGCAATATTTAAAAGATATGATTGCTTAATTTTCTTAATACGAGGTTCTCTTAAGTTCCGATTTGGGCTTGCTGTGCATAAAGTGTGTCAAACTTTAGCTCCAGACCAGGGGGTGAAAGTCGGTCAATTTAATTCCCCAAGATCTAAAGAAGGTCGGTATCATTTCATATAGCCCTGGCAGAACACCAGGCACAAATCTGTTCGTTACGTGCTGAGGGTTTATAGCAAAATAAATAGACTGTCATCATAAGTTCAGAAAATTGTGTGTTCGACCCACGATAATGTGTAAAGGGCGTTTAATAGAGTTCAGCATTTATTCGTTATCTGTATGCGGACAGAGACGGCAGTGGCGTTATCAGCTCTAAAAAAAAAAAAAAAAACCCTCGGTCGTCCTGGGGTCACGTGACGCGCGCGCACGCACCCTCACATGCTCTGCAGTACGGTCTTGATTTTAGTCACAGCAGAAGGCTTAACCACAAGAGATTCCACTGGTTCAAACCAGCGTAAACCAGATTTTTTTTCAACCCACAAAAGAACAGATTACCCCTTGTATCAAATTCTGCATTAGGAGGGGGAAAAAAATCTTTGTTTCAGAAAAGATGTTGATTACCGTAATTCAACATGGTGGCATTGCACAGTTTCATGTCCCCTCTGATGGAGCTAGTAACTCAATGAAATACGAAATTAGGACTTCCAGTCTAGTCTAAGCATTGCCATCTTTTGTTTACTTGGACGAATAACACTCAGCCCAACTTAAACACACACAGACACATACACACAAAGATTAAAAACCCTCCCCTGACCTAGCTTAGCTACAAATCCAATGTAGAGCTTGAAGGCAGCCATGCAGCACAAACAAGATAGAACGTTTTTTGTTTGGAACCTATTGAAAAAACAAATGGGGAGCATTTTTAAACACTCATTGATTATGGCAGGGTGGCATGCCCCAAAATGGTCTCCATTACTGAGGAGTAGTTTTAAACTTTGGCCCTTTAAGTATCATAGTCAACTGAAGAATGGTGTCCCCAGAAAGAAAAGATAGCTGTTCGATCAATGCCCAGATCATCTCTTTCTGGGAAGAATTAATGTTTGGCTTTTTCTTCCATGGTGTTCAGATAGCTAAGAAAAAGATTCCAATATTTGATAGGCCAGCCATTGTAGTTTAAAATTTTACTTATTTCAAGGAAGAATAGTAAATTTTCACGTGAAATGATCTGATGTTTTATTGGTACGCAC